CTGACCCCGATCATTCTCCTGCGTCGTGTTTGGTACGGCTTCGTTGACGCTCATCCTGGCCGCCGGGAGGTGCCCCGCTCTCTCGATGCCGTCGGAAGCAGCGATCGGGGGAAGTTGCGTCGGGGTGGGTCGGCGGAGACATCGGGCCTGCTGCTCACGTCGGTGGGGCCAGGTGATGATGCTGGACGGAGCACAGCAGCAGGCACAGTCCAGCACCTTGAAGACCGTGCAGGCGTGCGCCAAGCAGGTGATGCAGGCGGAGGCGCAGCAGGAGGTTCCTGGAGTATGCAAAGTCGGTATCATCACGCTTCGCGCATCCCCACCAGCCCATGCGGAGACCCTGCCGATGCGAGCTAAAGGGATCAGGGACGACGAGACACATACACTGAAGCAAAACGGGCAACCAGGGTACAGTGCCGTTTCTAATACATGCTCCGCGTGCGGATCATGTATTAAGAAGTGAAGGGATTTAGCACTAAAAACAACGATGAGTTCATGCATAAATTTATTCATACATTAATCATGTATTAAAATCCTATGCTTTTTAATCCTATGTATTAAAACCTGCCCTGTACACTGAAACAAAACGGGCAGCCAGGGTAAACAGAGAGATCTCTGCGAGCAAGGGTGTGGCCTCGGATGGCCTCTTCGGGCCATTCCTGCGGCCGGCGTGGCGAGGGGAGGAGGAGGAGGAGGAGGAGGAGGAGGCAAATGAGGAGGCGGCAGAGGCGGAGGAGGAGGAGGTGGATGAGGAGGAGGAAGACGACGACGACAACGATCACGACGACGACGATGATGATGACGACGACGACGACGACGACGACGACGACGTTGTGGACGACGACCACGACCACGACCACGACGCCGACCACGACCACGACCACAACCACGACTACGGGCACGACCACGACCACGACGACGACGACGAGGAGGACGAGGACGAGGAGGAAAAGAGGAACACGATGGCCCTACCTCAGGAGGCATCAAAATGCCTCTTGGGGCCCTCTTGGGGCTCTTTTCGGGGGGCTTGGGTTCCTCTCGGGCGTCCTTATGCGGGGTCTCGTGGCCCTCTTGGGGCTCTCTTGGGGCTTTCCAGGTAGCCGTGGAAGGCCTCCTGGGGCCGGGGTGGAGGGGGAGGGGTAACCCCTCCCCCCCCGAAGGGGAAAAAGGGAAGTGGAAGAGGAAACGCTCTAAACCACCTCTGCCCAGAGGGCTGGTGGGATTTCCGCGATGGGACTCGCGCCCGCCGCGCCGTCCTGGCACGAAGTCGACCCAGCCAGCTACAGTACCAAGCTCCGTCTGGTAGAATCATAAGCTCTCGCAGAACAGATTTCAAGATGTTGGCAACAGATGCGAACATCGCGACCATAATTTCAAGCGCGACCATTGCACAGGACCCCAGATAAAGCCGAGCCCGTAATGTGATACACCACATGCGGCGAAACAAGTGTGTTCGCAGTCGTGAGTATCGCCTTCGGTGGAGCCCCCTATGGGGCCACTGGGGCCTGCGGTGGGAGCTCCCGTTGGGGCCGCGAAGCGTCTCGAGGGTGTGCCGCAACGGGTTGGGGAACCGCATGTGGCCGCACCCACCGGCGCCTCACGCAGAGCTCCCCGTGGGGCCACGAAGCCCGCGCGAGCGGCGTGCCGAGAAAGGGGACGGCCCTGGCTCCGCAGCGGCGGTCTGCGTGCCGCCCAGCCTGTCGACGGCTTGCCTCCCCGGTGGCTCGCGGCGCTGCCCGGCCCCCGCCCTGCGGCAGTTTGGACTCACCGCCCACAGTCAGGAGGGGAAAAAACACACAGACACAATTAATCGGCGATTCCAAGAAAATATGGGAAAATATGGGAAGTGGGGGGGAAGACAAAAACCTAGAAAATATGAGAAAAAATATGGGGGATATTTTTATTTGTGTGTATTTATTTGTGTGTCCCAGTTCCCCTTCACACAGTTTGGTACGCCAGGCTGCAGTGCCTGGGGTCAAGTCGGGCACGTCCCTCTACAGGAGGCAGATTCCCAAAGAGTCAAATCGTCTGGGGATCATTTTCGACTGCAGTGGACCATTTTTTGAAGCATTGTTTGGACTATCCTTTTCTGTCTCCTCCAAAATCCGCGGGAGCACCTCCGCACTCCCCGGGAGCACCAGTCTCCGGTGCCTGGGGCCGCCTGCACGCACTCCTGGTGGCTGAGATTGCGAAGGCTACACGGCCGGTGCCGCCGACCCTGAAGGGGGACGACGACGAAGACAGCGACGATGAGACTATTCGACAAAACGAGGGGGATGGTTTGTTCGAGGGGGAGGGTTTGTTTTTATCCGCTGGCGCGTCGCTGTCGTTACCCAGGCCCTCCCCCCCCCAAAAATGTGGTAACGATCGTACGCAGGGGGAGGGGACCTGGACCCCTCCACAATGGTGCTCGCGCCATTATCTGGGGTTCGCCAACATGGATCAAGGGGTCGTGGATTAGCGACGGGTCCCGTTCCCATGGGAAATCGCGGATTTCCGCCGACGAGCGGGGCGGCTCTGGTCGCATTTTGGGGAGGGCACCTCCACCGATCCACGGATCTGGCGCATCCCCGAGCAGAGTGAAGGGAGTGGGAGGGAGGAGAGGAGAGGGGGGCGGACAATAGGTGCCGCCTGCGCCCTCCCCGTGGCCAAGACTCTCTGCGCCGCGAGGGCTCCGCACACTCTGTGCCTCCTCGCGGCCGCCCTCGGTCCTCTTCCTCGAGTCGTGTGGGCCTTAGCGGGTCCTGGAAACGACAGGGCCGTTTTTTTACCGGTCCCGTTTTGCCGTTTTTTTGCCGGTTCCGACGCCGTTTTTTGACCGGTTCCGTCGCCGTTTTTTGACCGGTTCCGGCTCCGGTTCCAATCCTGGAGCCGTTTTTTTGCCGTTTCCGGTCGCCGTTCTTTTGCCGTTTCCATTTTCAAGGGACATGTTTTTGGAAACGGTGAAAAAACGGCCCTGCCGTTTCCAGGGCCCACAAAGGGGACCCCCCCAGTCTTGAGTCGGGCCTGCCCCTCGACAGCAGGAACATCCAAGATGGGGTCCACAAGAATAGTCTCGGACCGAGCTTCCAACCATGTTTGACCATTTTTGGTGTGCTTGTTTCGAATACCTGTTATATGTCAACCAAGATCCGCCTTCTGGGGGACATCCCCGACCGAGCCCTAGTTCTGGCGCGGCACGCCGGCAATTCGAGCGCGTTGCCGTCCGCCTTCGCTGCTGACCGCCCCCGGCAGGAAGGGCTGCCGAAGGGGTGGAGCTCCCTTAGAGGGCCACGACGCGCGTGAGGGGTGTGCCGGAAGGGGCGGGGAAGCGCATGCGAACGTCGCCATGGGGGTCGTAGATGTAGCTGCCCCGGGGGGCCACGAAACGTGTGAGGGTGTGCCGAAATGGGCGGGGAAGCGCATGCGAACCTCGCCACTGGGGCCTTCGGTGGCCACAACAGCGGGAGGTGTGTGCCAATGTGGGCGCGGAACGGCATGCGAACGGCGCCCCTGGGGCCGTAGGTTTAGCTGCCTAAGGGGCCACGAAAGGTGTAAGGGGTGTACCGAAATAGGCGGGAACCGCATGCGAACGTGGCAACTGGAGACTTCGATTAAGCTGAACGTGTCCGTTGGGGCGTTAGATTGGAACTCCATTCGGGGCTACGACGCGTGTGAGTGGTGTGCCGAAACGGGCGTGACGCCCGCATGCGAACGTCGCTATAAGCACTATAGGGGCCACATAGCGGGTGAGGGATGTGCCGACATGGGCGGGGAACCGTCTGTGAATGTCGTCACTGGGGCCTCAGGTGGAGCTCGCTATGGGACCACGAAACGCGTGAGGTGTGTGTGTGTGTGTGTGTGCCGAAACAGGCGTGACGTCCACCTACGAACGTCGCCACTGAGGCCTTGGAGCTCCCTATGGGGCCACGGAGCGTGCGAGAGGTGTGATGTTGAAGATGAGGAGGAGCGGGAGGATTATGAGGAGGACGATGAGGAGGAGGATAAGGAGGATAATGATGAGGATGCCGATGCTGATGATAATGATGTTGTTGTTGCTGATGATGATGATGCTGAGGATGATGATGCTGCTGATGATGATGTAGACGATGTTGATACTGCTGCTAATGAGGATGAGGATGAGGATGAGGATGATGAGGATGAGGATCAGAAGGTGGTGGTGCTGCTGATGATGGTGATGGTGTTGGTGATTGCCAGGGTGGTGATGATGATGATGATGGTTGCGGTGGTCGTGGTCATGATGATGGTGATGGTGATGCTGACGCTGATCAGATCATGATGATGGTGGTGATGGTAGTGATGCTGACGACGACCACCATGACGACGCTGATGATGATGCTGATGCTGATGATGGTGATCATGACTATGCTGCTATTGATGAGGATGATGATGAGCATGACCATGACCGTATTGATACCGATGACGATGATCATGGTGAGGATGATGGTGGTGGTGATGGGGATGAGGATGATGATGAAGATGATCTTCATCATGACCGTGACCGTCACGATGACGATGATGGTGGTCCTAATACGACGATGTTGATGGTGGCGGTGATGATGATGATGATGATGATGATGATGATGATGCTAATGATGATGCTAATGATGATGGTGATGATGATGATGATGTTGATGATGATGATGATGATGCTGATCATGATGATGATGATGATGATGATGATGATGATGATGATGATGATGATAAGGGTGATGATGATGCTGCTGATGATTGTGATTATGATGATGCTGATGACGATGACGATGACGATGACGATGACGATGAGGGCATGCTGAGGGTGAGAGGAGGGAGGGAAGGAGCCGTGGGACGGTGTTTTCAAAACGGATGCGGAGTGTGATGGCGACGGTGATGGTGAAATGCTAAGGAGGGTAGGGAGGAGGACGAGGAGGAGGAGGAGGAGGCGGAGCCTGAGAGTAGGAGGAGGACGCGGGGCGATGCCTCTTCAAAGCGAGGACGCAGCCCCACAGGATCGTTTGGAATGGCGGGGAGTGGGAGGTCCTTGGAGACTCTAGGATGTCCTTGGAGACATTGTCCTCCTCGAGGGCATCTCCTGGCATGAATGCGAAATCGGGTGGGCGTCTATGGCGCGATTCGCTCTGTGGCTCCGCTCTCTGGCTTCCCCATGCTGAGCTCACACGAAGGCCGCGAGTGACAAGGCCGAGATGACGCAGCGCCACTGCTCGGAGCTGGAGTCCAGGGTCTTCGCGCTGCAGGCTCCGTGGTCAGGGTCTGCCGCCTGCCCTGCCTGCTGGGTCCTTTCGAATGCTCACCTCAGCCATCGCGTCAGGCTGCACCCCACGGGTGGCCACGATGGGCGCTCCAGGAAATGACCCCTTGTCGAGGGACCGAGAAGCCGACTTCTCCCTTTCGGCGGGAGCAGGCGGAGGCAGAACGAAGGCGGCCCCTCCAGCGTGGGATGGTCGGCTTCGGCAGAAGGCCGGCATAAGCAGCACGCTGCCCTGCCAAGAAATGCCAACTTTTTCAGGGTCAGGGGTTCTAGAGCGCGCCACGGACTGCTCATCCGTGGCCAGTGGAGTCCCATTCGGAGCCAAGTTGTACCAGACATGCGACGTCCTGATCTTTTCAGGACGGCGTCCCTGGGAGTCCCGACCCTGTCCCCGGGTGCCAGCTTTTCATCCTGAGTCATTTTTTGTCGGTCCCGGGACCCGGCGAGGGCCCCCCGGGGGCAAAAATAATAGAAAAATTGCCGTCCTGAGTTTTTTCACGACGCGATCATGTCTGGGGTACCCCACCCCACAAGTTGGAGGCGATCCTCTGAGCGGTCTCCTTGAGGGGCCTGGGGCTGGACAGACGGGAGGCTTAGTGCTGCCTTGCCAGAGGGCTCCACTTGCTCTCGACCCTCGGCCCCCCCCCCAGTGATCTTTCGCGGGGTCCTCCTCCTCCTCCTCCTCCTCCTCCTCCTCCTCCTCCTCGTCCTCCTCCTCCTCCTCCTCCTCCTCCTCCTCCTCCTCCTCCTCCTCCTCCTCCCTCTCCTCCTCAGGCCCAGAGGTCCAACAGCCCTCTGGGGTGGAAATTGCAGCATCCGATGTATGCAAAGTTTGCAACTTCCATTCTGGGGCTTGAGGCCTCCACCCCAGAGGCCTTTGAGTCACCCAGGAGGGCGAGGGTGGCAGGACGCCCTTCTCGTGCACAGGCTGAGCTGCAGGTGGAGAAGTACCGCAACCTCGCGCTAGAGGCGCGCAGTGCCACTCCGCCGCAGCCCACGCTGTCCGCGCTCACCGCCCAGTCCAGGCAGTCGAAGCACTCCGAGGCGATGGAGGAGGAGATACGCGAGCACATCAGCGACATAGCGGAGAGGCACCACGGGGGCCGGACACGAGCCACCTCCGACCGCGCAAAAGTTTTCGGAGGCCCGCGCGGGTTTCTCGGGCCCGCGCCTTGACCCCCCACCGCTCCGCGCCCCCTCCCCCGCGCGCGGGGCGCCCCAGGGCGGCAGCGGCAGCCGCCGCGCAGGGGGTTTTTGGGTGGGTCGGCGGCCCCAGCGCCGACGCCAGAAACGCGCGTGGTCCTCCTCCTCCTCCTCCTCCCTCCTCCTCCTCCTCCTCCTCCTCGTGCCCCCCCTCCTCTCCTCCTCCTCCCCTCCTCCTCCTCCTCCTCCTCCTCCTCCTCCTCCTCCTCCTCCTCCTCCTCCTCCTCCTCGTGCCCCCCCCCAAACACACACACACACACACACACACACACACACGCGCTGCTGTTTCTGCGACCCTCGAGGCACCATCGCTGCGACGGGCTCTTCAGGATCTCGGGCGGGAGGCCTGTTCACATCTGCGCCTCCGCATCTGCCAGACCCCCCTTTGAAAAGCAAGCCAACAGATTCTTCCATTTCTTGCCCCCCCCCGAGAACCCCGGATCTCCATGTCGAGTCGTCCGCGGCGGACGGGCGGAAAAAATTGGTCGCACGGCGCCCCGCGGGAACATAGAGAGTGGGGGGCGCGGGGAGACGGACCGCGCGCGAGACTTGCCTTCCTTTCGCAGGGCAGTGTCGGCCGCGAGGGCACGGATGCGGATACCCTTGTCGCCCGCGGCAGGAAGCAGGATGCTCGGTTGTTGGCCCTGGAGTCCCGCTGCAGGGAGGCCGAGAGCGCCGCGCGAGCGGGGGACCTGGAGATCGCGAGGCTGCGCGAGGCGCTGGCGTCGCAGCTGCACGCAGCTGCCGTGACAAACGAGCTGCTGAGCAGTTCGGAGGTGCACCGCCAGCGCACATCCACGTCTCGACCACGAAACAAGCAGCACCACCCCACCTCCAGCCCCCCATGCTGCGCTGCGGCCCATCGGGGGCCGCAGCGCATACCACGCAAAAGCCCACGCCAGATCTCCTGGAGTACAATGGAGACCCATGCCAAGAAACACCCTGCTTGCCCTAGGTGTCTTGGGTTTCGATGGTTTCGTGATCGAAAGCGTGACGTTCCCACGCCAAAAACCAATGGACGTCCTGGGGTCTCAGGGTTGGGTTTCGTGTAGAAGGTTTCTCGTGGTCTGACCCCTACTGTTTTCCACGCAAAAGCCCACGCCAGATCTCCTGGAGTACGCTAAGCCCCGTGGGGCCGTAGGTGGGGTGGTGTCGCTCGGTTTCTGGTCCACCGCTCGAGGTGCGGACTTCGAACCTCGTGTGTGTCTTTTTGTGCGCCGTGTTCCGTGCTGGGGGATCTCTGGGAGAGGCTCCGCGTCGCCACACGGCCGGATCCGCGTGGACCTTCTGGCCGGATCGTGTTCCAGGGGACATCCAGGTGGTGATCTCCGCCCTCGGCCGCAGACCCCCTCGCGCCGTGACTCGAAAAAGGAATAACACCATAAACACAAACTTTTGGCGCTCCGCGCGCATTTCTTGGATCGGCGCCTGGGCCACCCCGGCGGCGCCTCCGGCGCCGCTCCTCCAAGAAATCCGCGCGGAGCGCCGAGACTTGACGTTTATGACGTTGTTTGTTGTTTTCTTCTTCTAGGGACACGAGACATGAGTCGGGAATGCAACGCCAGTCCTGGGGATGGGGTCGAGACCTATGGGGGTCCACGTTGTGAACCAGCATCGGCATCGGGGACCTCGATGCGCCGCTTCGCAGCCGCGCCATGTTTGGCGGTCGGCGCGATCGGCCCGTATGCACAATACCACGTGGGCGTATCCCGAGGGGTCGTCGATCCTCGAGCCAGGCCTGGAAAACGTGCACAGGCTCTCGGTACCGTGGGCCAACAAGAGTCATGCACCAAACGTCGTTGGAGTGGGGCCGAATGGAGTACAATCGCAACATGGTGCTCTGCACGAGCGTCGCTCTCGCACTGGCGGGACATCGAGGCGTGGCAGGGGCGGATGTCTGCCCGCCGCCCCATGCATCCCAGGTCGCCCGTGGAACCGCGAAGAGAGTCGCTCCTCGCACGTCGCGGCCTGGGCCAGAGCCCTGACCCGTTATATTACCCAAAAGGGCGGCGCGTGGGCGCGAGGGTCAGCGTGCGTCATGCACGTGGAGGCGCGACGCGCCAAGCGGGGTGTCCCGTGGGTGTCGTCCTCGCGCTGGTGCGACATCGATGGCGGCCGTGGACCTCTGCCCGGCCCTGCAGGCGGGCAGGCATCCGCTCCCACCGCTCCCCAGGGGCCTGGGGCAGGACCTCGAACAGTTTGGTGTGGGCATGGTTCGGTAGCAAGTCGTGGGAGCCTCGGACCCCGTCGCAATTCCATCTCTAGAGCGCATTCGCGTCGAGAAGTATCTTGTACTCGACGAGATAGCACCGACTCAGCGTCGATATAGCGTCGGTTAGCGTGGACTAGCTTCGATTAGCGTCGATTCACGAGGGCCGAATAGATGGTATCCTATACGACCACCCTTCGGGTGATAAGGAGGTTGTGGGCGGGGAGAGGGGGGCGAACCAACATCTGACTCAATCGATCTCACTATCGATCTCACTCAACGGGACACCACGGGACAAAATGGGACACCTGTCGATCTCATTATCAATCTCACTATCGATCTCAGTCAACGGGACATCAAGGGATACCACGGGACACCTCGGGACACCTCTCGATCTCACTATCGGTCTCACTATCGATCTCACTATCGATCTCACTCAACGGGACACCATCGGACGCCACGGGACACCTCGGGACACCATATCGATCTCACTATCGATCTCACTATCGATATCACCATCGATATCACTCAGCGGGACATCACGGAACACCTGTCGATCTCACTATCGATTTCTTTTTTGGGGGCACCACGGGACACCGCGGGACACCACGGGACACAGCGGGACACCGCGAGCCACCGCGAGCCACCGCCGCACGGACGGACGGACGGGCGGGCGGGGGAGAATCATTCGTCTTGACTTCCCCCAAGCAACAACGGACACCACCGGACACCACGGGACACCACGGGACACCGCGGGACACCGCGGGCCACCGCCGGACGGGCGGGATGGGGGAGAAGAATTTGTCTTGACTTCGCCATAGCAACGGCGGGTTCATTCCTGTCGCGCGCCCACGCAGCCTCGCCTCGCCCGCACGCACGACACGAACGAAACGAAACGATTTCCCGGTTGGGGGTCTCCGCTCCGCTGCGATCTCACCCCCCGCCCTCCGATGGTATAGGCTCCCATGAGCTGCTACCGAAGAGTATGGGCATGGATGGCTCCAGCAGGTGCACGATGGAGCGCCCCACAGCGCCAGCCGGGGATCGCTCGCCGGTTCCCTCCACGGCTCCCCCCCGCTCAGCGCGGGCCTCGGCCAGAAGGAGCTGCTGCAGCACGACAGCCGATGTTCCATCCACGGCCCTCATGTCTGAGAGGAAAAAGGTGCCGATACCGCTACCTTTCTCTCGCTTTGCCTCTTTGTGGGGGCCTTCTGGGAGGCCCTCGTCGCCACGGGCGGATTCGCCTCGGCGTTCTGGTTAGAAGCACCCTGGGAGAGGTCCGGGGAGCAGCGGTATCCGTGCTCTGGGTTTCTTGATAAGCGTGGGGGGTACCCCTCCGACGGGGGTCAACCTCGCCTCGTCGTCGCGCCGCGACGGGGCTCGGAGCGCCTTCGGCGCGCGGTGACTGCCCGCGACTGGGGCTGGATGTGGGGCTGTCGGCGGGGGTGACGCCCCCCCGGACGCTTATTAAGAAACTCGGCGTGCATTATGGCAGCCCCCTCGCGAGCGACGAGCATGCTCCAGGTCCGCGCCCTTTCTCGGTCTGCACCCCGAGGCGCGCGAGAGTGCCCGACCGGGCACGCGGGGGCGTTTTGTTTTTGTCCGCGGGGCGCGCCCGCGCCGAGCCGCCCCCCCTCGTGCCCATCGCCGCCGCGGCCGAGGAGTGCGGGCCGCGATTTCGCGGGCACGAGCACGATCCTCGCACACGATCGGGGGGTGCTAAAAAGTAAGGGAACGAGCGATGACATCAACAGAACAACTCGGAGGTCCGCGCGGATTCCTCAGATCCGCGCCGGACCCTTTTGGCGGCGCCTCCGGCGCCGATCCAAGAAATCGGCGCGGATCTCCGAGTTCTTCTTTCTATGTTAGTGTCCGTTCCCCTACTAAGGTACCCCTGGCCCAAGGAACCCCCAGCTTTTCGCTCAATTTTGGAGATCGTGGGTCCCTCTGGGCCTCGTGAGAGGGCGCTCTGGAGGCCAAGGGGGCCTCCTTGACAAAATCTAGGGGGCACCTTGGGTCAGGGACACGCTTCTAGCAGCACCCGACACGAGGCTCCCTCCAGAGAGGCCCCGAGCTGCACGGCGGCCACCCCTACGGCTCAGTGTCGTTTAACCAACCCTTCTCCCCATCACCATCCCCATCCCCACCCAGACCCCCACCATTCTACCACACAAGTTGGGGGTGTACCCTTCGGAACCCGAAGTGAACGGCCTGTGTCCCCGTCTGGGGAAGGTAAACTGGCGAGTTGGGCCCAGGCCACGCCGTTGGGGAAAGGGTCGACTACACGTAAGAGTGACTCTTCGCCGGAGTGGTCTTTGGTGCGGGCCGCTTGGGGTCCCCCGATCGACGAACGCGAGGCGGCAGTGGTGTCCTGCGCGCTTGCGCTTGGCCCCCCGCGGCCCCCAAGAGGCCGCGCACCGAAGGCCGACTCTTCCACCAGGGACACTCTCTGCGTGCAGCCGATGGGGGTCGGTTAAGCGCTGCTCAGGCTCCCCTCCGCCTGGCGTCCGTCGCAGCCCCAGCCCCAGCCCTCAGAGCGCCCGGGCGCAGCAGGGGCTCGCGAGCCCAACCTTCGGGGCGCCGGGCGCCGCCCACGGCGGCCTGCGGGGGGAGGCCCACCGCGTCGTCGTGCCAGACTGCGAGGTGGAGGTCGGCTGCCGGGCGGACCGCCTCGGCAGCCTTCTCCGCAGCCCGCTCAGATCCCAGGTCTCGGAGGAGGGGGAAGATGTCGATGCTCACGCGGTGGCGAGGCGCCCTGGCTTTCATATATATATATATATATATATATATATACACATATAGATATATGCAATTATATGTGTATATATATATGTGTGTCTATGTATATGTATATATAGAGATATCTGGACCCACGAACTCTTTGTGCGGTGTGCAGAACATGTTCTTAGAGCATTTTTGGCTGAGACCTTCTGGTCTTAATCAACCGGTGTCATGTTCTAAGCAGTGTGCTTCTGTTATTAGAACATTATTTGGTTTTAAGAGCACGTCGGGGTAGGCCTACAGAAATGCCAGGACGGCCGGGCCCTACTCAAGACTCGGCCCGTCCCCAGGCTCCACTCTTTCCCGAACAGCGTTCCGCTTATAGTGTTTCAATAGCAGTAGAAACGGACCACAGAAGAGTCCCACAGCGGATCGGTAAGCCCAAGGCCGCCAGGTCTAGCAGCCATTTCGCCTTCCTCACAATTTATCCAGCAACTGTGCCCTCGCCCCAATGCCGGCTGCATTGCTGGTCCAGACGGCCAGGATTCTTGGCAAACCACTCTTTAAGGTGCACAGGGCCGTACTCTCACCAATTGTCCCAGCTGCATCTTTGACCCCTAGCCGACCTCCTACTCCTCGACTCGCCTCTTCACCTTAGCTGCGAGTAGGGTGCTTTGCTGGGATACTGTGACTTTGGGCCTCCCTGGGGGCCCTCATCACCACGGCTGGGTTCAATTTGGAGTTTTGGTCAGAGCGCACCCTAGAATAGTTCTTGGGAATGGCGGCATTGGTATCTCTTCGTTCCCCCACAGGTCGTCAGAGGTACGGGCCTGGAGTCTCTGAGCCCGGAGCAGAGGAGAAGGAGCATCGTCGGGTCGTCGGCGACCACTTTTGACGGCTCCTCGGCTGTCCCATCTTCCTTGCCGACATCGACAGACGCCACAGACCCGCACGTACAGGTTGTCCGTGGTTTGCTTGATCAGCGGACCGAGGTGGTGCGGGCTGCAGGACCAGGGAGTTACAAACAGTTCGAGCCCATGCGAAAAGCAGCAAAGAGAGTGTGATCACAACTTGTTGGACGCCCGCGGTCTGCTCTGCACACCGGGCGCCTTCCAGACTCCCTCCTGTCTGAGAGGCCCCCCGCAGCAGCCGCCCCTGGGGAAGGAGCGTGGCGCTCGCGCGCACAACCCCTCCCCTGCTCCCGCCCTCCTCCGGCAGGTTCGCGTCGTGTCGACCGGCGGCGACCCTAGCGCGGGCGTGCAAGGCTGAACACCCCAGCGTGGGCGTGTAAGGTTGAACACCGCAGTGTCAGAAACCGATGCTGTCATTCTCCTCCTCCTCCTTCTCCTCCTCCTCCTCTTCCTCCTCCTCCTCCTCCTCCTCCTCCTCCTCCTCCTCCTCTGGGGTCGTCGCTACACGAACCTGCAGTATCCTCCCAGTCGCGGCCCTGCTGAGCCTCCCATCGCTGCAGCACCCCTCCACAACTGGTCGTGTGCGAGGGGCTGACTTCGAGAGTAGCTCGCTGGCGGCCGCCTCCTCCTCCTCCGCCTCCTCCTCCTCCTCCTCCTCCTCCCCCTCCTCCTCCTCATGCTGCTGCTGCTGGTAATCCTCCTCCTCCCCCTCCCCCTCCTCGTCTTCATCCCCCCTCCTGCAGCTGCATGGGTGCCAGAGCCTGTGTCTTGCCACGCGTAGTGGCTGGAGCCTGTGTATTGCCGCGCGCGTGTCTGCCGCTGTATGGAGAGAGTGTGTTAAGAAATTGTTGTCGCTTCGCGAATCCCCACCAGCCCATCCAGAAACGATGCCCAGAGGAATTGCCTCGATCAGAGAAGTGGGCAGCACACAGAGGAAGCCATTATGAGACATCTTGGGATATCTTGAGCCATCTTGGAGGTCATTTTGGGCTCTCCCAGACGCTCTTGGAGTCATCTTAATCCGTGCCCCCCCCCAAGAGGCCTCCATGTGGCTAAAACCTGTGTAGAATCAATGATTAGGCATTCTCGCCGAGGCCTCTTGGAGCATCTTGGGTGCATCTGGGGGGGCTCTTGGGGCCTCTTGGGGGTCTCTTGGGGGCCTCCGGGGGGCCTCTTGGGGGCCTCTTGGGGCCATTTTGGGGCCATCTTGGGACCTCTTGGGGCTTCCTGGGCGCTTCTTGGGGCCATCTTGGAGGAGATCGATCAAACAAGAGGGGGGGTTTAATTAGCGCCCCCCCTCGGAAGCCCCTAAAATCGCCTCTTGGACCCCTCTTGGAACGCTCTTGGAGTGCTCTTGGGCGCTCTTGGGGCCGTCTTGGGGCTCTTTTGGGGCTCTCTTGGGGCCCTCTTGGGCCATCTTGGAACCATCTCCAGGCCTCGGATGGCCATCGGAAGCGAAAAGGCGAGAAAGCAAAAATCATTGATTTTCCTTAGGTTTTGGGACGATTTTGGCCTCTTCGGGGCCTCCTTGGGGAGCTGTTTGGCCACTTGGAGTTATCTTGGGGCCGTCTTTGGGCTTCTTGGAACCATCTTAGGAGCCATCTCGAGCGATCTTGCGCTATCTTGAGCCATCTTGGAGCTCATCTTGGGTTCTCTGAGGCGCTCTTGGAGCCGTCTTGGGCCATCTGGGACGCTCTAACTACCAGCGGCCCCCCCCGTCCAGGTCCAGGGGCGGGGGTAGGGGGAGGGGTAAACCCCTCCCCAAGGGGGAAGAGGGAGGGGTGGAAGAGGATCTGTTCTAGACCACCTACGCCCAGAGGGCTGGTGGGACTCTGGGCCATGATGCGGGTAGTGCTCCCCCCTCCCGCCCCCTCCACCCCCCTGCACGTCACGTTCCCCCCCCCCGCCCACCCCAGTGCGTCCCAAGCACTGCCGCAGTGCGTCTGGCACCACAGTCTGTGGTGCTGGACCCACACGGCGTCGGAGGGCGTTGCGTCATGTCCCCCCCATGGCCGCCCCTCCCTCCCCCTCCCGCCATCACGCCCGTTCTCTCCGCGAACCAAACATTAGCCTGGCGAAGGACCCAACCATATGCAGGTGTGAGTCCCGCAGTTGTGGGTATTATCTTCGGTGAAGCTCTCTTTGGACCACGAAACACTGTACTGGGTTGGGGGGGCGCATATGAACTTTGCCACTGAGGCCGTCGGTGGAGCTCCCTACGGGCCGCGAAACGCTGTACTGGGTGGGGGCGAGCTTTGCCTCTGGGGCTTTCTGGGGAGCTCTCTATGGGGCCACGGAGCGCTGTGCTTGGTGGGGGACACGCATGCGGATGGTTGCACTGGGTCCTTCGCTGGAGCTCGCTATGGGCCACGGAACGTTGTACTGGGTGGGGGAAACGCATGTGGATGTTGCCATTGGGGCTTTCGGTAGAATTCTTTATGTGTGCCCGAAACAATGTACTGAGTGGGGGAAACGCATGGAAACGCATGCGGATTGTGCCATCGGGGCCTTCGGGACGCATGCGGGCGGTAGCACTTGGATCTTCGGTGGAGGACCCTATAGGCCCACGAAGGGCTATACTGGGTTGGGGGGGGCGCATGCGGGCGATAGCACTGGGGCCGTCGGTGGAGGTCCTTATGGGGACACGAATCGCTGTATTGGGTGGGTGGGACGCATGCGGGCGGTAGCACTGGGACCTTCGGTGGATCTCCCTATGGGGCCACGAAGCGCTGTATTGGGTTGGGGGTGGGACGCATGCGGGCGGTAGCACAGGGGCCGTCGGTGGAGCTCCCTATGAGACCACAAAAGCGCTGTACTTGATCTGGGGGACGCATGCTGGCGGTAGCGCTGGGGCCATCGGTGGAGCTCCTTGTGGGGCCACGAAACGCTGTATTGGTTGGGGGGGGCGCATGCGGGCGGTAGCACTGAGGCCGTCGGTGGAGCTCCCTATGGGGCCACGAAGCGCTGTACTGGGTTGGGGGTGGGACGCATGCGGGCGATAGCACTGGGGCCGTCGGTGGAGGTCCTTATGGGGACACGAAGCGCTGTATTGGGTGGGTGGGACGCATGCGGGCGGTAGCACTTGGATCTTCGGTGGGGGTCCCTATGGGGCCACGAAGCGCTGTACTGGGTGGGTGGGGCGCATGCGGGCGGTAGCACTTGGACCTTCAGTGGAGCTCCCCATGCGGCCACGAGACGCTGTATTGGGTGGGTGGGATGCATGCGGGCGGTAGCACTGGGATGTTCGGTTGAGCTCCTATGGGGCCACGAAGCGCTGTACTGGGTTTGGGGGGACACATGCGGGCGGTAGCACTGGGGCCTTCCGGCTTCAGGGCCCACGTCGATCCGATCGGTCTGACTCGATGCCGGTTTCGGCCGACGTGATCCGATGCGATGCCGTCGTCCTGGAGAGCCGATGCGGCCCGATGCCTGCGCGGCGCTGCTGCGCGTCCTTGCGCGGCGGATCCAGTCCGGGTTCGATTCTGTGCCGGTGCGGCCCGATCCCGATGCACACCTCGACCGGCGATAACCCGGGCTATCGGGCCGCCTGCCGCCCCCCAATCCCCTTCGGATAGCCTGACCTTGTCGGCCCCCCACCCTCCCGGTGGATAGCCTGGCCCTGTCGGTGGCGTAGGTCCGAAGGGGGTACGCATGATTGGGGCGCGCGGACATACGCGAGGCTGCCCAGAGGGCGAAAGGGTTAGGTTACAGTGGTGACCCAGGCCGAGAATCACAAGACAGCTCACCGCTTGGGCCCCACCGCCAGCCCAAACGGCGAGCATAAATCGGGCGTAGGCCCGCACGCATTTGAATGCCCACACTTCGTCCTCGTACTACTCGTATTCCTCCCCGTCCTCCTCCCCATCCTGATCGTCGTCGTCGTCCTCCGCCTCGTCCCCTCCTCATCCTCCTCGTCTTCCTCGTCTTCCTACTGCTCCAGCTCGGTTTCCTATCGGTTGCGCCATAGGTTGCGCCCTCGGTGGTTGAGAATAAAACCGTCCCTTCTCGGTTGCGCCGTAGGTTGCGCCCTCGGTGGCCGAACCTACAAACCGTTTCTTATCGGTTGCGTCATAAGTTGCGCCCTCGGTGGCCGAGAGTAGAACCGTCTCCTATCGTTTGCGCCATAGGTTGCGCCCTCGGCGGACGAGAATAAAACCGTCTCCAATCGGTTGCGCCATAAATTGCGCCCTCGGTGGCCGAGAATAGAACCGTCTACGATCGGTTGCGCCATAAGTTGCGCTCGTCGGCGGCCGAGAATAAAACCGACTCCTGTCGGTTGCGCCATAGATTGCGCCCTCGGCGGCCGAGAATAAAACCGTCTCCTATCGGTTACGTCATAGGTTGCGCCCTCGGTGGCCGAGAACAAGTGGCACGCGCGTCATGGCTCTTGCACAGAAAGGAAAGGGGGAGGAGGCGGAGGGGGCGCGCTGGCTGGTGAATGGGGTGATGGAGGGGGCGCTCGGGATGGGGGTGTCGGGGCGGAGGGGGCGCGTTGGCTGGTGGATGGGAGGATGTGGAGGGTGCGCTCGGGGTGGGGGGGGGGTGCCGTGCCGAGATGAATGGGTCAGGGTGGAGGGGGCGGTGCCGCGCCAAAACAAAGGAGTCGGGGCGGAGGGGGCGCGCTGGCTGAAAGGTGGGGGGATACGGAGGGGGCGCGCACGGACGGGGCGGAGGGGGCGGTGCCGCGCCAAAATAAAAGGAGTCGGGTCGGAGGGGCGTGCCGTGCCGAAATAAATGGGTCGGGGAGGAGGGGCGGGCTGGCTTGTGAGTGGGTGGGTGGGTGGGTGGGTGGGGGGGGGCGTAATAAAAAGGGTCGGGGCGGAGGGGCGCGCTGGCTGGTGGGTGGGGGGATGTGGAGGGGGCGCGCGGGGCGCGCGGGGAGGGAGTGGGGGCCGTGCCGAAATACACGGGTCGGGGCGGAGAGTGCGCGCTGGCTGGTTGGTGGGGGGATGCGGGGGGGGCTGTGCCGAAATAAAGGGGTCGGGGCGGAGGGGCGCGCTGGCTGGTGGGTGGGGGGATGCGGAGGGAATGTGCCGTGCCGATTTCAAGGGGTCGGGGCGGAAGGGTGCGCCGTGCCGAAAATAAAAGAGGTCGGGGCGGAGGGGCGCGATGGCTGGTGGGTGGGGGGATGCGGAGGGGTGCGCCGTGCCGATTTCAAGGGGTCGGGGCGGAGGTGTGTGCCGTGCCGAAATAAAAAGGGGTCGGGGCGGAGGGTGCGCCGTGCCGATTTCAAGGGGTCGGGGCGGAGGAATGTGCCGTCCCGGAATAAAAGGGGTCGGCGCGGAAGGCGCGCTGGATGCGGGGAGGGCGTACCGAGAGAAAGGCGTCGGGGCGGAGGGGCGTGCCGTGCCGAAATAAAGGGGTCGGGGCGGAGGGGGCGCGCGGGGGGGGGGGGGGGGGGCGTGCCGAAATACAGGCGTCGGGGCGGAGGGGGTGCGCTGGCTGGTGGGTAGGGGGGATGAGGAGGGGTGTGCCGTCCAAAATAAAAGGGGTCGGGGCGGAGGGGTGTGCGTTGCCGGAAGAATGGGGTCGGGCGGAGGGGCGCGCGGGGGGTGGGCGTGCCGAAATGAAGGGGTCGGGGCGGAGGGGGCGCTGGCTGGTGGGTGGGGGGATGCTGGGGGGAAGGGGGCGTGCCGAAATAAAGGGGTCGGGGCGGAGGGGCGCGCTGGCAGGTGGGTGGGGGGATGCTGAGGCGGTGTGCCGTGCCGAAAGAAAAGGGTCGGGGCGGAGGGGTGTGCCGTGCCGAAATTAAAAGGGTCGGGGCGGAGGGGCGCGCTGGCTGGCGGGTGGGGGATGCGGACGGGGTGTGCCGTGCCGATTTCAAGGGCTCGGGGCGGAGGGGTGTGCCGTGCCGAAATAAAAAGGGGTCGGGGCGGAGGGGCGCTGGCTGGTGGGTGGAGGTGATGCGGAGGGGGTGCGCCGTGCCGATTTCAAGGGGTCGGGGCGGACGAATGTGCCGTCCCGGAATAAAAGGGGTCGGGGCGGAAGGCGCGCGCGGGGGGTGGGCGTGCCGAAATAACGGGGTCGGGGCGGAGTGGGCGCGCTGGCTGGTGGGTGGGGGGATGCGGGGGCGGTGTGCCGTGCCGAAATAAAACGTGTCTGAGCGGAGGGGTATGCCGTGCCGAAATACAAAGGTCGGGGCGGAGGGGCGCGCTGGCTGGTGGGCGGGGGGGGGATGCGGAGGGGGTGCGGACGGGGTGTGCCGTGCCGAAATACAAGGGGTCGGGGCGGAGGGGTCTGCCGTGCCGGAATAAAGTGGTCGGGGCGGAGGGGCGCGCTGGCTGGTGGAATGTGTCTGTGTGGGTGATGGAGGGGTTGCCGTGCCGAAATAAAGTGGTCGGAGCTCTAGACACCCTGTGCAGCATACTTAAACCGCCTCCTATCGGTTGCGCCATAAGTTGCGCCCTTGGCGGCCGAGAAAAAGCCGTCGCGTCACGGGTGCGACCAGTCTGTTCAGATCACAGTATAGCTCAGCTTACCTCGCGAGAGACAAATTCGGGCTACGCCCCAAAACACCTTGCGTGCCTCCAGGGTGCCCGGGGTTTCGTGGGTGCCGATGGTTTTGCGATGGAGAGCGCGACGTTCCCACGCCAACAATTAATGGACGTTCTGGGGGCTCAGGGTTGGGTTTCTTGTAGAAGGTTTCTTCTGGTCGGGCCCCTACTGTACGTGGGGCTGCCCAGAGCGAGAAGGTTAGGTTATCGGCCGTCCTCTCCCCGCCCTACCCCCCCCAACTGGATGATCCACCAGGTTATTGCAGGATGGAAAACAGCACAGACACACTTATCGTCGACTCCCAGGAAAATATGGGGAGATCTGAGAAGTGTGGGGAAGACGAACACCCACACCTATATATATATATATATATATATATATATATACGCATATATTTACACACATAAATGAAAGCGAATCCCGTGATTTGTGTGTATTTATGTGTGTGTCCTTGGGCCCCTTTATTGTTTCTGAACGAACTCAACAAATGGTATTGATGCAGTCCGTCGCCGTTGTGGCTCAGGGCCGTCGGACTCCTCAGTTTCTGGTTTGACTTACGCGCGTGCATCGAGCCATCCGTTTGCACGAGCTGCGCACGGACCTGTCACATCCTTCATTCGTGCTGCATCAGGATGCAGGTACGCATGCACGTCAAGAATACGTTCGTCCACGTTGTGAGCTCCACGCAGGCAAGTATTGCAAGTGAAGGTTTCCACCGAACCAGATCGTGCCCCTCTTTTCTCAGTGACGCTGTAGCCGACGAGGAGTCCCCACTCCGCACCACGCTTGACGCTCGGTAGTTTGGGCGCTTGGGCCAGTGTCAACCTTGACTCCGAGGAGGAGCTGTATGATGATCAGAGTGGCTTACTGCCTGCTGCTGCCGGTCCTGTGAGCGCGTCTGGAAGTATGCCCACGCGTCTGAACAGCAAAGCTCAAGCATTCACCCCGAGCAGCCAGCTTAACAACGTGGCTCCTGCGTTCGATCCAAGCTCGTCGCACCAAGTGTTGAATTTCTTCAGACCTAATCTGGACGATTCCGATCCTGACGTGAGTCGGTGCGGCCCTGGACCCAGACGGCTATCATCCGTAGATTCCGGACCGCGATCAGCTCCCGCGACAGGTATGGACCCAGCCCCAGGCTGCTACCACAGCGATGCCGCGCAATGTATTGCGCAGCTTGATAAAACACATTCTGATGTGGTTACGTTGCATCTTGAGAACCTCGCCTGTCCCCCAAACTGGTGTCTTCTCTTGTGCCCGACGCGGGCTCGATGAGGACTCGACGCGGATTTGGCGCGGACCCGACGCGGATTCGACACGGATCCGACGAGGCCGACACGGGTTTGACACGGATTCTTTTCGTGCAGGGCCGCGACGGGATTGAAAAGGCCCCCCGAGGATGCAACATAACGAAAGGGATCCGCAGGGATTCGCACGATTTCGCTCATGTTCCCATGGACTTCGAGAGTACGCGAGGCAGCGGCTTCGCTTTCGTGGGCGAGCGGTTGCAGGGTGGTTCCGGCCAAGACGCAAGGCTTGGCGGCGTAGATCGCGCTTTTCCGGAGCAGCCCCACGATGGGCCGCACGGTCCCCGAGAGCTGCAACCCTGCGGTCTTCGCGGGCGGGCTCAGGTCGCCATCTCCTACGCCCGCCAGGAGTTTGAAGCCGCCCTGCGAGAGGTCTCGAGGGGAGTGGGCGATTTTTGGTGCGGCTTGCCGCGAAAGCAGCCAGCCTCGCTTCTTGCTCGCTCGTCTTCTAGCGTCCGCTTTCTCGTGGTGCTCTTGCTTCTCCTCCTAGTCCTCTCTCGTCTTCTAGGTCTCAGACCCCAAGGTGTTCTGCAAAACTTTGGCCTCACCTCAAAGCCAACGAAGCGTATGGGCTTTCGGCTTGCTTTTTGGTCGAACGGGTCGTGAATTCTAGACGCTTCGCGTATCCCCACCAGCCCGTCCAGAAATGAGCCCCAGGGGAGTGGAGGTGATGAGGGGGGAGCTTTCCAAGCGCTCTTGGAGCCATCTTGGAGGGGATGAATCAAAGAAGGGGAGTCGCTCATTAGCGCTGCCCCTGTAGAGTGCCTCGAATCGCCTCGTGGACTCCACCTGAGGCAATATTGGAGCGCTCCTGGGCGCTCTTGGGGCCGTCTTGGAGCTCTCTTGGGCTTCTCTTGGTGCCTTCTTGGGCCATCTTGGAGCCATCTTCAGGCCTCGGATGGCCATCGGAAGCGAAAAAGCGAGAAAGCAAAACACGTTGATTTTTCTAAAGTTTTGGATGGATTTTGGCATCTTGGGAGTCTCTTGGGATCATCCTGGAAGCCTCTGGGGCGCTTCTTGGAGCCTCTTGGGGCCCCTCTTTGGGCGAGCGGGGGAGCATGCAGAAGAACAAAGGGCGGGGTGAGCCGCCATATACCCCAAGAGGGGGAGGATGTAGGAGGAGCCGTCGTCGTCGGAGTAGGAGGAGGAAGAGGAGGAGCAGGAGGAGGAGCAGGAGGAGGAGGAGGAGGAAGATAAGGAGGAGGAGATGGAGGACTGCGAGGACGAGGGGGACGAGAAGGAGGAAAAGGAGGAGGAGGAGGAGGAGGAGGAGGAGGGGGAGGGGGAGGAGGGAGGAGGAAGAAAAAGAGGAGGAGGAGGAGGACAATGGCGAGCTTGGGGGCCTCTTGGGCCGTCTTTGGGCCTCTTGGCGGTCCCGGGGGCCTCTTGCGTATCTCGGGGAGCCTCTTGTGGCCTCTTGGGGGTCTCTTGGAGGCCTCTTGGGGGCCTCTTGGGGCCTCTTGGGGCCCTCTTGGGGCGCTCTTGGGGCGCTCTTGGGAGCCTTCGAGGCGCTCTTGGGGCCATCTTGGAGGAGATCTATCAAAGAAGGGGGGGTCCTCAATTAGCGCTGCCCCTCTAGAGTGCCTCGAATCGCTTCTTGGGCCCTTCTTGAGGCCAAAATCTTTCCAAAACCTAGGTAAAATCAATGTTTTGTGTTTTCTCGCCTTTTCGCTCTTGGAGCCGTCTTGGGCCGTCTTGGGAGCCTCTTGGGCCTCTTGGAGGTCTCTTGGGAGCCTTTTGGAGGCCTCTTGGGCGCCTCTTGGGGCCTCTTGGGGCGCTCTTGGGGCGCTCTTGGGGCGCTCTTGGGAGCCTTCGGGGCGCTCTTGGGGCCATCTTGGAGGAGATCGATCAAAGAAGAGGGGGTCCCCAATTAGCGTTGCCCCTCTAGAGTGCCTCGAGTCGCCTCTTGGGCCCCCCAAGAGGCCAAAATCCTTCCAAAACCTAGGTAAAATCATTGTTTGTTGCTTTCTCGCCTTTTCGCTCTTGGAGCCGTCTTGGGCCATCTTGAACTCTCTTGGGGCCTCTTGGGGGTCTCTTGGCAGCCTCTTAGAGGCTTCTTGGGGGCCTCTTGGGGTCTCTCGGGGCCCTCTTGGGGCGCTCTTGGGGCGCTCTTGGGAGCCTTCGGGGCGCTCTTGGGGCCATCTTGGAGGAGATCTATCAAAGAAGGGGGGAGCTCCAATTAGGGTTGCCCCTCTAGAGTGCCTCGAAGCGCCTCTTGGGCCCCCCCAAGAGGCCAAAATCCTTCCAAAACCTAGGTAGAATCAATGTTTTGTGCTTTCTCGCTTTTTCGCTCTTGGAGCCGTCTTGAGCCATCTTGGGCGCCCTGACACCTCGCGAGACGCCTCGTCCAGGTCAGTGGGGAGGGGTAAGGGGAGGGGTAAACCCCTCCCCGAAGGGAAAGAAGGGGGGTTGGCAGAGGAAACTCCCTAGACCACCTACGCCCTAAAGGGCTGGTGGGATTCAGCCAAGCAACCAGATGCCTTACCCTGTTTATTCACACTCCGCTGAAATGCAGCGCGGGCTCATTTCATTGGCCTTTTCACGTCTCTCCCTCGCCTTCTTTGGTCGTCGTGAGGGTGCCCTCCCGACTCGATCACCTGTCGTGCGCCCGCGTCCTGCGAACGTCGTTCGGCGTTCGACTGTGAGTTGCTCCATCCGTCCCGTCGTCTCGCTTGCGGGTCCTGAGGTCGAGGGCAGCAGCATCTTTGACACTCCATGGCTACGACGTCTCCCAGCCCTCCCTCGCCCTTCCTCGGCGTCACCCCAGCATACTTATACTATACGTGCGTCGCCCCGCCGGGGGCGATGCGCGCACCGAGAAGTCTCATTGTCTATGCGTCGTGGCGTGCGCTTCTGGCCACACCGCTCGGGAGACGATATACTACAACATGGGTGTGCTATATGTTTGGGTCGGACGCGCGCCTCCATGGAGAACATCTAGTAACAGTATGTCTCCGTGCGTCCCAAGCTTCCCTCCTCTGGCTTCCGCTGCCCAGCACGGCGCCCGACGTCCCGTCGGTGCCGGGGCGCGTGGCGGCACCATGGTGCCACCGTGCCCCCGCCGAAGCGGCGCTGCGCTCCCTGCTCGACCAGCCTCGCCCGCCGCCTCCCGAGGCTCTGCCCCGCCCCCGCTCGCGGGCACGGGGCAGGTCCGTATCCACGGCATCGCGGGCCCGGCCCCAGGGCCGCGACTCCCATTCGGGAGTCAGGGGCAACGATAGGGGGGATAGGCACAGGGGGGGATGCATCGACCCCCAATCGCGCATTGATCGCCGATGGGGGCCCGATAGCCGGGCCCAGACCTGCCCAGGAGCGTGCGGGTTCATCATCGGGGCCCTATCGCCGACGTATCGGCGATGTATCGTCGATTCCAGGTGGATGTGTCCCCCCCTATTCCAGTCCCCCCCTATCGTTGCCCCTCAGGGAGCCTTGAGACGGGGGTCAATGCAAACGGGGGTCAGCCAGAGTGCCCGATCTTGCAGGATCCTGCAGGGCCAGGGGCGCACTGACCCGGGCTTGGGTGCAGGATCTTGCAGGACCCTTCGCATTGACCCAGGTTTGGGTGCAGGATCTTGCAGGATCTTGCAGGATTCTGCAAGGCCTGACTGACTCGGGTCTTGATTGGCACGGGTCAGAAGGTCCCCGATCCATGGATTCGGAAGCAAGTCATGGGAGCCTCTTGCACCCTCGCACTTCGGTCTCTAGCGTCGATTAGCGTCTGGGAGTCGATGAGGTAGCGCCGATTTCGCGTCGGCCAGCGTCGATTCAGCGTCGATTAGCGTAGATCTGGCGTCGATTGGCGTCGATCCGCAAGAGTCGACAAGATGGTCTGGGAGGCTCGCATGAGTTGCCATCGAGCATGGATGCAGGGGCTCGCCTTTGTTCGCGCATGCCCCGCGCGAAGCGTATCCATGCGAGCGCGTATCTACGGGATCGCGCCCCCGAAGCCAGGCGGCGTGGATGAGGGTATGGATGCGTTCGCCGCTCGCGATCTCGTCCCTGCCGCTGTCACCACGAAGACCATGGGCAGCGGCAGCTAATAGGCCTGCGGTGGGGACATGTTCAGTCCGCGCGTGGCTCGGGCGTTCACATTGGCCCGTGCCGCACGTAAGTGGCGCTGCCATTTTGGCTGGCCAGCCCCGCCCTTCGCCTCCCATCTCTCACTTGTCAGTTTTTTGTCGCCATCGCGGGGAGAGGAGACGACACAGGCGACACTGCTTTTACAGGCGGCGCTATTTTGACAGGCGATGTTGTCTCTCGTGCCCTCCCCTTCTTTGTACTCATGCTGCCTGGCAACACTCCTGCTGGTCTGTTGCCAGCTGATGTTGGGTTACCACCTGCTGACCTCCTGCCAACGAGTTGAGGTTCTTACTCAGCTGGTGGCGCCTGCGCATTAGGTTCGCCAGGCCTGGGCTTCGGGAGCCCCCCCCTGGACGACACAGTTTCAAGGCATGGCTCCGGCCTCCCCAGGGCGTCCCTTGTGTGCCCAAGGTGCGCCGGGGTGCCCCAGACAGCCCAAATGTCTCCGTAAGATGTCCAAAAAGAGTTCCTGGAAAATTCCAAGAGAGCCCAAGAGAAGTCAAGAGGCTCCAGATGACCCCGATACGGCTCCGACAGCGGTTCGAGAAAGCCGGCAATAATTTCCAAATTCTACAGATAAGTGAGAAGATTTCATAACTCCTCAGCATTCTTGGTAGTCTTGGGATTCCTTCTGCTTGGCTCCAGAGAGTTAAGACGCCCTCAGAGGCCTTAAGGGGCCCCCAAGATGCCCCCAAGAGGCTCCCAAGGGTATTCCAATGGCATCCCAATAAGCCCCCTTGACGCCTGAGAAGGTTCAAAAGGTCCTTCAGAGGCCAGAGAGAGTTGGGGCCAGAACCTCTGGCCCATATGACGGCCTTCTGAAATTTTGGGCCGTCTTTGGAGCCTCTTCTGAAGATGCCCCAATGACGGCTCCAAGATGCCCCACTAGCCCTTTCCCAACGACCCCAAGATGGATTCAAAAGAGTTTAAACAGGGCCCAAACAGCGATTCAGAGGATTGAAAGATGATTGCACGTTCATTTACGAAGGAATGTGTGGGTCCTTCATTTTTGATTCTGGATAGCTTCCAGAGCGCTTCGAAGTAGCCTAAGACGCCTCAGCAGGCCCCGAAGATACCCCGCAGAAGATCCTGCCAGGGCCAGAGAGAGGTTGCGAGAGGCCATCATGGCGCCAGAGGAGGCCCCAAAGACAGCTCCAAGACGCCACACTAGCCTCCAAGAGGCCCCTCATAGCAAACAAAGCCGTGGAAATATATGAACTACAATTCCTTTTGTACTTTTCAGCAGAACCGATGTTACGATGTTCAGAACTAGAACTTTCTACCTATACCGGTTCCATACGCTCCGCAGGTGTCCAAGAGTTTCTCCCGAGGCTCCCAGAGGCATCGGCCCATTCAGAACGGCCCTGAGAGGTCCTACGAAGGCTCCGAGAGGGCCCTGTGATGGCCCCATGAGGCAACAAGAGGCTGCAAAAGAGCTACCCCAACGGGTCAGGGATCCTTGTTCGGTTCATCACAAGCATCCCCATCACGTCCCAAGGGGCTCGGGCACGCTTCCAGGAGAGCCCAAAGAGAGGAGGCAGTGAAAAAGGTCAAGGAGACATCGGTGTGTGCGGGCGCCTTTCGCCGACTGGCGCCGGGTAAAAAACGTACTCGGATGCAGGGGCACCGCAGTTTGTGCGCTTGCCCTTCGGCTGCGTGGTCATGCACGCTACGCTGTCCGCGAAATATCGGTAGCACTAAGTCGGGCATGTCCCTCTACAGGAGGAATATTTTCAAAATAGTCCAAAAATAGTCTGGGGACGATTTTTATATTATGTTCTAATTATGTTTGAGCATTGTTTGATGGTGTTTACTATCCATCCAGAGTCCGCCTGTAGGAGGACATGCCCGACCTAACGGTAGCATCGCGCTCATCGCTCCATCATCCGCAGAGGTCCGGCACAAGCGCCGCATGTGGTGCCTTTGGCTTGCCTCGTGTGTTTCATCGGAGACGCCAACGGAGAGTCACCTCCGCCGCTTGCCTTTTGGAAGCGCCGAAAAGTCAGAATATTGTGGCCAAGGCTTAGACAAGCTATCGGACAATCTGATCCCCGAGCCGTAGTGGAATCCCTTCGCAGAAGGATTGGGGAGGATGGAGGAGAGCATCAGGAGAGGAAGGATGAGGAAGAGGAGAAGGAGGATAAGGCCTCTTGGAAGCTTCTTGGGGCACTCCCGGGGCATCCTGGGAGCTTCCTGGGGATCTCTTGGAGGCCTCTTTGGGGGCCTTTGGGGGCGTCTTGATGGCCTCCTTGGCCGCCTGAGGGCGTTCCTGACCCGTCGGAAGCCTTCTTGTGGGCCTCTCTGGACCGACTTGGGGCCCTCCTGGGGCGCTTCGGGGCCGTCTTGGAGGTCATCTTGGGCGTCTTGAAGCTCTCCTGGGGGCCGTCTTGTGGGCCTCTTGGGCCGTCAGGGCGTCATGTCGCAGGCCTCCTGGGCGCTCTTGAGGCGATCTTGGAGGCGTCTTGGGCCGTCTGCGGCCGTCGAAATGCCGACATTAAGAATGCCCACATCTTTCAAAAACCGTCGGACAATTATTGATTTTGGCTTTTTCGGGCCTTCTCGGAGGACCTCTTGAAGACCTCTTGGGCCGTCTTGGAGGTTTCTTGGAGGCCTCTTTGAGGCCTCTTGGGTCGTCTTGGACCATCTCGGGGCCATCCTAGGTAGTCTTGGTTGCATCTTCGGCCGCCTTGGAGACATCTGCCGGCCATCTTGGGCTCTCTAGGGCCATTTTCACGTCTTGGAGACCATCTTAGTTGTCTAGGAGGCCATCTTGGGGGGGACGGCCAATGGAGAACGAATGTTCGGTGGCTTTCCAGGTGGCCGGCGGTGTGGGCCGAGACCCCATTGGGGACATCTAAAAAGAACCCAAACCATTCAGAACCGCTACATCTTGCCCAACTAGTGATTGCCGGGGCTTGTTTTGCTGTTTGGGTTCCGTGAGTTCGGGTCGGACCACCTGGGGCTGGCGTCGTTCCGACCACGCCATCGTTTCCTCTCGACCCTTTTCGACAGCCGCTCAGCAATGCGGCAGTTGATGAGTTGAGTCTGTCTGGCGCGCTCACAGCCCTGACTCCAAATGTATTCTGACGTGTGTGGCTGCCACACGTTTGCAGGATGCTTTTTTAACGCTGTTTGGCAGGCGCGCGATCCGTCTTCCAAATCCTTTCGAACGCGCGCCCGCTACCTGTGCTGGCGCTTTAATGTCCCGGAGAGATTCATGTATTGTCTTCCTGTGCAGGCGCACCCATAATCTGTGTGAGCCCCTCTACAACACTGTCTTCGCATGATGTTCCTGTCCTAGCGGCTGGAACGCGAAGTTCAATTTGAACGAACCTACGACACGTGCAGGCCACCTACAAGTCGGGTCCCGACAGCAACCGACATCGCGCATTTTGTGCGCGCCTTGGACTGTACCCAAGTTTCACGTGCTGACCTTTCCCATGAGGCAGGCTGTTCAATTTCAGCTGTTTCTTTTAAACCTCCTCGCGCACAGCTATGATTTTGTGCACATGCAGACAAACTTCGACGCTGGGACCACTCTGGATAGACGCGCTTGCATTGCAAAAGAACAATCAAAGCCATTCAGATATCTGGAACGCCGTGCACCCCCGTGGCAAGCCGCAGGGGGCGGCGGATCGACGACGCCTACGGCGAATCACGGCTGCCTCCTGCCTTTTTCGAAGCGCATTCGCGACCAGACGTTGGGCCGAAGCCCGGCCACGATGTTGGACGACGTGTTTCCCCGGCCGTTGTGGAGCCGAGGAGGAGGAGGAGGAGGAGGAGGAGGAGGAGGAGGAGGAGGAGGAGGAGGAGGAGGAGGAGGAATTGAGAGCCCCTTGGGGGCCTCTGCGGGGCCGCTCCGGTTGCAAGTCTCGGCTCAATCTGATAGAGTCTGGCTACACGTGGCTTGATCCTTCGTGCAATCTGGCTGGATCGACCCCCGGATCGGGCTCGGCAGTTCACCATCGTGACCACGAGGGCCCTTTAGAAGCTGCCGCCGAAGATCTGCCTCCCCACCCGGCTCCTCGTGTTCCTTCCCTCTCCTCCCGGCTCGCTGGTGGAAGGAATCTCCCCTCGTTGTCTGGGCTCCTCGACCGAGACCCCACGGATGCAGGGTGGATTTGCGCGGATATCCCGCGCGGGACGTATCCGTGGGGTCGCGTCTCCGTAGGCCTGCTGCGCCCCGGGATCGGGACCGCGAGGACGTGGCATCCCCCGTCAGCCGACAAAGGCCTGCGGCCGAAACCGTGGCAGAATTTGCAAGAGACAACATGTAGCCGAAATTGATAAGTAGGTCGACCCTGCCAAATCGAGTGTACCCTCCCGTGCTTTGCGAACCATGCCTTCTAAATTCCTATCGCAAAGCGGCCCTCGGCAGGGTCTTGAGTCCTCTCGCGTGTCCTCGTCAATTAACCTCGATTGTAGTACGACAGGAACTGTTACCAAACTGGACAATCGTGCCCAACCAACATGGATCACACCCGGTCGCGTTCGGGGCGGCAGTTGCGGTCATTTTGGGGCAGATGTTTGGGCACAGCTTTGGCCACTCCGCCCCTATGTTCACCCCGCCCTCGCCGATTAAAGACTCAGGCAACTCGACGGGCGGCGGAAGTAAGTTTCGGAATTCGTCGAAAGATTGGCGAACTCTGGGCCCCACCCCAGTCTCCCATCGATCCAGGAGACCATATGGCTGGTGGGGGTACGGTTCGGATGTCGCCACCTACACTTGGGGGCCTCCCTCCGTTCGGCGGCCAGCCGGGGGAGGGAGTGGGAAGGGGCTGGCCTTCTCAGAGGGCTCGGAAGCCCCCTGGCCTTCTGAGGAGTCTTTTTATGCCTGCCCCGAAGGCACAGGGAACACATCTCGGCAGGCGCGAGGGCTTCTGAGAAACCCCGCCGCCCTCCGAGCAGGCCTCCTCCTCCTTGCTTCCCCCCCTCGCCCCATGATGTTCCAAATTGTTACGCTTCGCGAATCCCCACCAGCCCATCCAGAAACGATGCCCAGAGGAATTGCCTCGATCAGGGAAGTGGGCAGCACATAGAGGAAGCCATTATGAGACATCTTGGGATATCTTGAACCATCTTAGAGGTCATTTTGGGCTCTCCCAGTCGCTCTTGGAGTCATCTTAATCAGTGCCCCCCCCGAGAGGCCAACATGTGGCTCAAACCGCCGTAAAATCAATGATTTGGCATTCTCGCCGAGGCCTCTTGGAGCATCTTGGGTGCCTCTGGGGGGTCTATTGGGGCCTCTTGGGGGTCTCTTGGGGGCCTCCTGGGGGCCTCTTGGGGGCCTCTTGGGGCCATCTTTGAGGAAATCAATCAAAGAAGAGGGGAGCTTCAATTAGGGTTGCCCCCCCAGGAGGCCAAAATGGAGCCAAAACCATGGTAAAATCAATGATTTTGGTTTCCTCGCCGAGGCCGTTTTGGACGCGCTGACACCTCCCCGCCCCCTTGTCCAGGTCCATGGGGAGGGGGTCGAGGGAGGGGTAAATCCCTCCCCGAAGTGGAAGAGGGAGGGGTGGAAGAGAGGAAACGCCCTAACCACCGACGCCCAGAGGGCTGGCGGGATTACTCTTGACCGCCAGAAAGAATCTCGAGCACCAAACACAATACCGAAACCGGAGGGTTTTCACGCGTCGGGCCGTGGGAGGCGATTCTCGTTCGACATTGATTCGAAACTGTTCGGGGTGCGCGAACGTATTTCTGGAATGTGGTCCTCGAGCACGAGGGGAGCAACGAAACCCTCGCCCGCCGCCGATCCGTCCCAGAGGAATCTCCGCGTCGTGCTCGCTGCAGGGCTCCAGCTGCACGACGGCCACGGCGCGGTGAGAGGCAGCCCCTGGAGGCACGGCACCGCAGGCGGGCGCAGGGCGCAGGGCGGGGGGGCGCCGGGACGGGACGGCGAGCCGGCTTCTCCTCCTCATCCTCCTCCTGCTCCTCCTGTCCTCCTCACCGAAAGTGCCATGCTGAGAACGATTGTGAGTGGAGGATTCTGGGCCCCCAGCCGGCTCTACAAGCACGGGTACGCGGAGACCCCTTAGTGCCCATGCTGTGATCATGAGTATTGTTCACCATATCACCTCATATGGGAATGTTCGGGTCGTGAACAGCAGCGGCAGGCCGCTTTAGGCGGTACCGACTTGCGAGGCTTCCCTGCGAGGTCCCACGGTTCGTGGTTTTGGACTCGCGGGCTATCGTCTCGCTCTTGCTTCCGTGTGCTGCAGTTTCGAGACGACAGTGATCGTTGGCACGTTCGCTATGGAGCATTGGAAAACGTCACTGGCGACATACACAGACGGCGCCTGCAGGAAAGCGTTGTTCTTGCCCGAGGCGTCGCGTGCGGGGTGGGGGTTCGTCAAGTACGCGTCCTCGATAAAGCTCATGGTGTTCGGCGCCTTCCCAGGTCCCCTTCAGAGCTCACCACGGGCTGAACTCTATGCGTTCTTGAAAGTCCTAGATGTATGTATCACCCCTGTGCATGTACATACTGATTACATGGGGTTCGACGAAGGTTTGGTCTGGGACCCCAGGTATACCACGGGCCCTAGACGGCCTGATGCCGATGTCTGGGCTACGATCTGGAGTAAAATTGATGAGCACGGCGGCCTTGGAGAGGCCATCCAGGTTTCACATGTTCGGGGCCATCAGAGGGGCGATTCGATCAGTGCAAGGGCCAACAGATGGGCCGACCTCGCGGCTAGGTCTGGGAGAGATTTGCATGCTCTCTCCCGTCTTCATATTCGATCGATGAGCCTGGCTCTCCGCTCCACGCGCCGAGTGTTGCATTGGATTGTAACACCGCATTTGCATCATGCCAGTTTTGGGAGGGCCGAGACGCGTGCTGGCACCAAGCGAGTGTCATGTCGTTGGCGACCCAGTCATGTGGCCACTCCTCCTCCTCATCCTCCTCCTCCTCCTCCTCCTCCTCCTCCTCCTCACTTGCACCACCACCTCCTTGAGGGCAGCGGGTTCGTTCGCTGCACCTACTGTAAGAAGGGAGTGAGGACTGAGCAACCCAGGCGCAAGCTAATGGCCACCACGTGTAATGCGAGATTATACCAGGCGGTGCCAGCAGCGTCTGACTCCTCCCCTTCGTCTAGGTTCTCTGCGGTTCGGCCTGGGCCTGAGCCTCCCTGGGATCAAGGCATTGGGGGAGAGCCGCCGCCCATAGCCTCGCCCATCGAGGCTGTAGGCCACGCTCGGGCCCCCACGGACCCTCAGGTCTTCTTGGACCTGGCTCCTCGGGACTCCAGGGCCAGGGACACAGAGGGGAGGAAGCGGGAAGCTTGCAGCTCCGTAGAGGAGCCACCGTCCCAGCGGCAGCGTGCCCCCTTCTCTCCGATTGCTGCCACTTTCACGGCTGATCGTTCCGAGCTCGCTGCTGCCACCCAGCGAGTCAGCCCCAGGGAAGGCGGCCCACCTCGTCGTGGTGAGGTCGGCCCGGCCCCTCGGCGATCCGCTCGCGCGAAGGGCCCGCCTTTCTCCCCGACCGCAAGAGACAACGCGCTGGGATCGGCAGAAACGATCGGCCAAAGGAGGCTGACTACACTATCCCTGCCGCCTTCGTCCCCAGGTCGGGCATCGTGCCCGCTGTGGCCGCCCGAGGCCACACATTGTGGGTTGCTCCAGGGTCTTGCGTCCTATGCGTGTCTTGCGGATTTCATTTCACGGGAACTGCGGGCCACCTTCTTGTAAATTGCGACGCGGATGAGACTCGCATTTCTGATAGGGCTGCCCGCATTCGGAAAGTGTTCCTTTCTGGCCGCCACCCTGCCGATGAAGGGCGGGATGGATGTCGTGTTTTTGTCTGTGCCCAGGCCTTTGCAGGCCACGGATCCCGAAGTTCATTGGCTGCGGCTCCTCGTTGAGCCCAGCTACCCAGGGTTTTTTTGCTCGCGAAACCCCATAGTGCTTGGCGGCCCGTTTCATCTTCAATACCTAGATAACAGTTTTGTGCTCCGCACCCTGGCCGCGATCCGTCGGGCGGGCTGGTGTGCGATCGGAGCTTCGAGGGAGGCCAAATTGGCGCCCCTCTGCCGTTGTGCCCGCCTGTGCTTTAGACGCGGCGGCGCCAATTCAGAGTCTTATCCTCCTGTCCTCCTCCTCCTCCTCCTCCTCCTCCTCCTCCTCCTCCTCCTCCTCCTCCTCCTCCTCCTCCTCCCCCTCCTCATCTTCCTCTCCACAATTACTCAATATGAATACTATTTTCCCTCCTCCCCTGATGGCGTGCTGGGAGTGGCCGACCCCCCCCGCGTACTGTTTTTTACACACAGGATTCCCGGGAGTTGGGTTTTCGCTTGCGTTTTTTTTCAAAATGCACCACCACCACCACCAGCACCACCACCACCACCACCAGCACCACCACCACCACCACCACCACCACCACCACCACCACCACCACCACCACCACAACCACAACCACAACCACAATCACGCACACACGCACGCACGCACGCACGCGCACCACCACCCACTACGCACGCGCGCGCGGAGCCACAGGTCCGCTACGACACGCGTCCGCGGATAGAGAAAATCAGCGCCATGGTAAGGGATGGGAGGGAGGGGCAGGACGTCAGATATGACGCGAGCGCACCCAGCTTGCCCTCCCCCCCCTCCTCCTCCTCCTCCTCCTCCTCCTCCTCCTCCTCCTCCTCCTCCTCCTCCTCCTCCCCCTCCTCATCTTCCTCTCCACAATTACTCAATATGAATACTATTTTCCCTCCTCCCCTGATGGCGTGCTGGGAGTGGCCGACCCCCCCCGCGTACTGTTTTTTACACACAGGATTCCCGGGAGTTGGGTTTTCGCTTGCGTTTTTTTTCAAAATGCTGCTCTCGCTGAGGCGCCGGCCTCATTTCTGCTCCCGAATCGTTCCGAATCGTGCTCCCGCTGCAGCGTGGGCCTCATTTTCGGATCGGTGTTTGGCCTCCGTCGTTCAGGATGGCGTTCTCGCCCCAGCGCGGGCCTCTTTCTCGCGCGCCCATCCGCCCGCCACCACCGCGCCGCACCGCCACCACCACCACCACCACCACCACCACCACCACCACCCACCAGCACCACCACCACACCACCAGCACCACCACCACCACCACCAGCACCACCACCACCACCACACCACCACCACCACCACCACCACCACCACCACCACCACCACCACCACCACCACCACACAATCACGCACACACGCACGCACGCACGCACGCGCACCACCACCCACTACGCACGCGCGCGCGGAGCCACAGGTCCGCTACGACACGCGTCCGCGGATAGAGAAAATCAGCGCCATGGTAAGGGATGGGAGGGAGGGGTAGGACGTCAGATATGACGCGAGCGCACCCAGCTTGCCCTCCCTCCCCTCCTCCTCCTCCTCCTCCTCCTCCTCCTCCTCCTCTCCTCCTCCTCCTCCTCCTCCTCCTCCCTCCTCCTCCTCCCTCCTCCTCTTTCTCCTCCTGCTCCTCCTCCTCCTGCTCCCTCCTCCTGCTGCTCCTCCTCCTCCTACCTCCCCCCCATCATCCTTTTCCTCGTTGTCCTCCCCCCCCCTCCCTCCTCCCCCCCCCTCCTCCTCCCGTAGCCATTTTGGCTCAAGGCCAAATGGCGTTCCATTCACCGCCTTCGCGGTGCGGGCTCCCCAGCGATCCAGCATCCAGTCGATTGCCGCCGCAGTCCCGGACTAGCGGCATCCCTTCCACATTGCCGCCGCAATCACGGGCTAGCGGCCGCCCATTCACATCCGCTCCCTCGTTGGGTAAGTTGGTCTCCTTCCCCGCGCTGTGCTGCGCGGAGATCTTCATTGCCCTGGCTCGCGAGCCAAGCTGCCTCGTTCAGCTATCGCCTCCTGGACCTGTGCCACAGCCGCCACGCTCTGGACAAGAATCGCTGCAGGTGTTTGGCTTCCACTTCGCGCTTCCACCACGACCAGCTACGTCGACATCATGTCGGCCGCCTCATCAGACTGAAGCCAGTCCGCATCGAATGGGTCCAACTCCCGCAGCAGACGCGAAGACCGACAACATCACCGCGACGAGCCTCGCCGCACCGAGCGTGGTGACGATCGCCAGCCCCGCCGTTAAGAGCCTCGCCGAGATGGTCGACGTCGGCCCGCGAACACTTCGGACAGCTTGGCCACCATGGCTTCAGCAGCCAAGGCCACGCGGGTGCTCCCTCACGCGCTATTGGCCAAAGCGGTGCGAGACCGCTGCCCACTTCAGCGCGATCCTCAGCTAGATTTGGAGGCCGCGCCGCTGCCGGAGCCGCCCCCGTGGCCATGGAAGATCCAGATACGCCACCGCATGGTCCTCCTCCTGCTGGCCCGCTCCTGGGCGCCCCCGACACCTGGGCCAGCTGCAGCTTCGGCTCACAGCTCGCGCGCGACATCGTGCTGGCACCTGCATGTCCATCTCAAGGGGTTGCCGCCGCACGAGCCGCACAGGCCGCACCGGCTCATAGACGCGCCGCACCTCCTCCAGAGCAGCATCCTGCACTTCCTGGGCGAAATGAACCGCTTCCCGGAATACCTGAAGATCTCGACGTCTCCCTTCGTGAAATTATGCAACGCGAAAGTCGCCGCAGCCGCTGCTCGTTTTCAAACTCAAGCCGACCAGATACTCGCCGAATCTCGCGGAAGTTCCAGACTTCTCGCGTAACGGCAACTTGCCGCTACCGAGCGCAGAGTTGGCGTTCTACACGACGAAGATGCTCGCACTCGCAGAACGCAATGCCGCCAAGCTGCTGAACATCCACGCATGTGGCAACAGATCGACCAGATGCGCGACGCGCTCGCCCTCGCCGAAGCCCAGACGCCGATCGCCGACCTCGACCGCCTTGCAGAGTG